GCAATGACAGGAAATAAGTAAAACTTGCAAAACTAGAGCAAACTGTTAAATAAGCAAACTTCTTGATGGGAACAGACGTGACAGGGACAGAGGGAACAGGAAAGTGTGGTGAAATTAGCCCTGGGAACGTTATGAAAATCCTGAGAGTCATGATTGTGGTTTGCGGTTTTAAAGGATAAAAAAGATTGCATCTAAGTGAACGGGACCACTTGGTCAAGCTGTCTACCTGACGGCTTGGTCCAGCTGGTCCGCATTGCAATGTGTATCTAAAGTAAGTACCTTGTATGCTTTTGACTGAATTTTATTTGCTTGTTGAACTAACATTTAATAAAGGTTTTGGAACTTTGAAGTGACTTGTTTTATGGTGTGTCTGTATCCCGTGTTTAATGTGGTTTTTCCCTGACAACATTTAATGTTACTGAGGTTTTAAATCTTGCTACTTCAACCCAGAGAACTAACAAGAAGAAAAATAGTTTTAACACACATTCCTTATGAATCATAGCCCTGTCATTTAAGTTTCAAAACCAAAAAGAAGCAGATTATTTCTGCTTGGAAACTGTTTTTTTTTTTTTCTGATTTTAATAACAGACCAATAGTCTTGCCATAACTGACTGAGAAAAGGGTTATGTCTAGAAAATCAACACAGAAGGAAAATCTCATGGAAAGACTATGGTCAGCCAAGATCTGGAAGATTACAAGGTCATCTTTTGACCTTTACAGCAGAAGCAAACAACTTTTAAAAAATTATTTAAATGACTTAATTGCAAGGGCCACAGAGTGGAGAAATCACTACATCAGACAAGACAGCGAATGTAGATTGTTCAAGGTAAAGTCTAGAAGAGGGGTGGCAGTTTTAAGACTTCATGAGTTTTATTCCGTAGGGATTGCATAATTTGCATACTTCTTTGTTAGAAAGAAAATTAAGAGGAGTCTGGAACAAGGTAACAGAAACATGTTTCTCCTGTTTGGCATTTCCTGTCCCTTTCTATAAATGGATAGCTAAGAGATTTGTCTGCTCTGAAACTAAACATCCTCCAGACCCTACTTTGATTGCTGATTGGTCTTCAGGGCACTGATGCATTTGCCTAGAATGAGCAATGAAGTGTTAATGTTTCCACTCTCTTTTAATCTTTCCCCTTCATTGCAGGTTCTCGTGCAGCGCTCTGAGCCAGCAAGGTCACAGAGAAATAATCTGGAAGAAGAGAAAAGTGCATCCATTCAGCAGAGACACAGATTGCATGATAGTTTTGAAGAGATAATGACTTCCTGAAACGATAAGATTGCTTACTCATTGACTTGCATCACACGTGTGGTTTCCGAATCAATTTTTAGCATTTTCACAGTAAATATGCTATGGCTGAAAGAGAATACAAAACAAATTACCTCCAGCATCTCTGGTTGCAAACGGTAGTTTACTTGCCTGTGTGTATCTCAAAAGCCAACAAAGTCAACTCTTAAATAAATATAAAGAACTTCCATTCTCAAATTGGGATGCTTCTATTTCCAAGTAAGTTACACCCAGCTTGCTTCCAGCAAATAAATAAGTAAACATATATTCATTCATGCATGCAGCCAACATTCTGGCTGTAAATGTTTGTACATGAAAAGCATCTTCTCTGCTTCAGAGTGGATAGATTCAAAAGTCATGTCATTCTATGGTTCAGTGAAATACAAATGATTCTAGCATCCTGGGGTACTTGCACACTGACATTCCCAAATGTGCTCAGAACTACAGCTTTAGAAGCTTTTAGTTTTGATTTTCCGTTGCTTATTCATGAATCCACAGTGTTAATCATTGCACTGGTTACTGGCTGTGACCTTCAAAACCCTGCATGATTCAGGACCTGGATATCTGTGGGACCACCATCTCCCAAGAATATCTGCCTGTCCAATAAGATCAGTTTCTTTTTGCATCTCCTTGCTCAGAGTGCCATGTCTCGGGGTGTGCAAGCACACTGCTGTTCCCCTCCCTTCCCCTTCCCCAGCACCCCTCTGGACATTTGAAATGTCCCTTCCTGATTGGCATTTCCAAAGTTTACAAAGCCTTAGCTATTCAAGCAAGCCCTGGAAAGTTGAATGAGATATTTGTCCCACTATTAATGGAAATGCCAGTGATACATAAATGAAATAATGGGGGTGGGGCAAGGGTGGACTGCAACTATTCCCAGACGACTATTGTGATTTTAAAGTTTTGATTTGATTATATTTTGTTTTGTTTTAATCTGAGCTATGGAGGAAGTTAGTTGTGACTGGAGTGGTTTATAAGCTCAATAACAACAACAATTTAATAGGTCATAGCTATAATTTCTTTAAACGGAGAGTTTAAAGATTGCCTGAATGAGTGAGTTAGTAAGGCAAACGGGTTGATTGGAAATGAAAATGACAGCTTGTAAGCTCCATCTTGTGGCTGTACCATAGAAGGAAACATATAAAACCAGAATATTTGAGTTGGTAGATCAAGAAACATATTATGAACAAGACGCATTTGGGTGCATTAAGTTGGATATGATTTTCAAATTAAATACAAAGCAGACATTTGGCTGTTCCATACTAAGCATGTGCTATTTTTACCTTCTACTTGAGTTGGCATTCAGTTTCGTTGAAGCAGAACTCTGATGTTTTAAGCCTAGTTTCACAAGCTTATAAGCTTCTTTTGAGTTTGAAACTTGAATCCATTGTAGATCTTTCAAGAAACAGTACTTATTAGTTATTGAACCACCACCACCACCACCACCTCCCACAAGATAAATACAATTGAAAAAAGTATATAATTCAGAAATAGGAATCTGGCTTAACAGCATTTTTAACTAAGCATTATTTCACACATTGCCCGGACTAGATTAGACATCCATGGAGAACATAAATAAATCTTAAGAGCAGGTACCTTTCTCCACTCAGATGATTAACCCTTTGGAACCACAGATGTATGTGACTAAGATCTAATACTTTTTAAAGAGGAAATAATTATGGAGGAAAATTAGGAAGAACACAAGATATACTTCCATGTCCATCAGGTCAGTCTACAGGGTCATGCAAAGCATTAGGTCATGTTACAAAATATATGTCAATCTGCATGAATTCTCTTGTAATCTTATCTTTGAAAGCAGATTGAGTAAAAACTAAATATTATATAAGCAATGTCCCAACAAATGCCATGAAGAGTTAATAATTGCTAATAGAGATACTTTTAAGATAATAGTATGCATCTTTGGATTCCTAAATAGCAAGGTTTGGTAAAAAAGAAATGGTGGGCCAAATTATATCTATTGATTATATAAAGAAATTCCAAATAAAGAGTTTAAACAAGGGAAGGTAAGAGTCAGGGACTGAAAATAGTTACCTATATCATATTCATTTTATAATGACATTTATAGCAGAATTCTATGCATATTTTTAGTCAAAGGAAGCCCATCTCATATTGAAAAAGGAAGCTATTTGTAGGTTACTGAAATTATGGTCAATTGCTAAGATTTTCATTACCTTTTACATAGGAATAACCTTTTATATCCTGGGCCAGGCGCAGCATTTTTCTCCTCTTGTCATTGGATATTGGGAGCAATAAGTCATAAATGCACTCATTGTAAATTTCACAAAAAGAAACCCAAATAGAGAATTTTACATCTCTCTCCTCTTCCAGGTTAGACTGGTCTGCTTCTTTTTCTGGTTCTTTCGTATCTAGCAGAACATTAGAATTAAGTAAGTTATAATGTAAATCCATATTATTCAGTAGCGGGCAGTTGGTATGGAAGATCCAATCACAGCTTGGACGTATCACAGAGTTAATCCTTGGACTTCACTTGCTACAGCAATGAACTCAATGATGTGACACAGAGCAACATTCACCTTTTACACTAAGCCATAATGTTTGATTTGGGTTTAGCATGTTTTGCAGGCCCAAACTTTGTGGTTGGCAAACTATCACGGTAATTGTCTAGACCCTGTTCACTTCTTTGTCCTGACCCTGCCAATCCCTTGCAAAATGGTCCCATCACACTATTCCAAAGTCAAGGGTGGCCCTGGTGACACCAGCTGAGCATTATGTGTGAACCTGTGATGGAATGGAATTATGAAGGCCAAGCTCAGGGAGATAAACATTTTCTTAGCTCGCCAGAACAGCGTGGGAGGAAC